GCAGAAGGCAGTTGGCTGCAGTGGACCTTAATAATGGTATTAGAACTTCTAAATACAAATGGACATTATATTTTTAAGATTTTTATTTGTAATTTTTAATATTTTATTTTACCTTCTCCCTTGTGCTTCAGTGCGTTTGTCTATAATATGAAATCACAACAAAACAAAAAATGAAGCTTGTAATTGTATTGAATTTGTTTGGGGGAGTGGCGGCCTAGTGGTTAGGGCATAGATCTTGGAACCCTGATGTTCTGAGTTTGAGCCCCACTCCCACAGAGCCACGGTGGCAGCCAACTACTCCCCAAGGAAAAATCTCCAATGTAAGATCAGTAAAGGTCAATTATTATTGGACTAAACCAGGAGGTTTGGATGGTTTTCTGCCGGTGGGTCATGATCCGCTCTGACCTACGGCGGTGAGACCTGGTCTAGGCTGAGAAATGCCAGCCTAACATCTGCACGTCGGTACACGGCGGCTTTGTCTCATTGTGAAACAGAGAGTGAGGAAACAGGTACTACACGCAGAGGGTTTGAAACTAAAGCAGGAAGCGTGACATTAAACAAAGACAATGCCAACACAGAGAGAGACCTTCAAACACACAAAACGGCCTTTCAAGCGAAGCGTCGGCGGAGAGCTTTACAGCACTGGTGGGCATTCCAGAGTCCGCCATGAACTCCTTTTTACCTCCAACCATGTGGAAGTGGCATCAGAGGCAGCTCACTACTTCAGGAAGCGCTGACGTCACGCCTCCTCTGCCGTCTCCAAAACAATGGCGGGCGCTGAAGGACGGCAGGGTTTAAGCCCAGGCTCAAGGCCTCTCTGCTGCATGAGGTCACCTAGGTAGCCTCAGACCGGTGCCAACAACTGTGGCTTGCACATATGGCAGGTAATCAGACCAAAAAAATGTCACAAGGCTCTTTGTTTGCAGGTGTCGGCCGTAATTTCTCAGCATGAGAGGAACATGGGCAGCAGGAAGGGAGAAAATTCAAGCTGATAAGTCTGGAAATGTCCGGCGACGTCTCACTTTTGGTTTTGGGGAGAGATGTTTTTGTTGTTGTTTTTTTTCTTTTAGAAGTTCCACTCAGATGAGTTTTCTTCAGTTTCGGCCTCATGGTTTCAGTTGCACTGTGACACTAGCTGTACTTGCACAGTTAGACCACAGACCTGAGCGCAGAGCAGACCCGCCTGTCGCTTTCAGGCTCTCCAGCTGCGCCTCCTTGCATAAGAGGAAAGTTGGAGGAAGAATAATGTCTTGGGCTTTGGCTCAGGCTTGAGAACATGAAACACTTCAAAAGCATGAGCTGCACTGAAACAGCTCAGTTAGCTGGCTGCGCTCCACGCTTGTGCCTGATGGGGTGTTTTGCTTTCACTCACATTGGCTCTTCTTCACCCCCCATTGCTGCATGTCAGCTGTCAGCGTGGATGGGCCCGGTGAGACACTGGGAAAGCCTCGGCTCTTTAAGCAAACATGTCTTTCGTCTAATCTGTTGGGAGAACAGATTCTCTGGTGTGGCCTTGAAAAACTGACCACCACCCAGCAATCTTCTTCTCCGCAGAGCTGCGTTTGCTTCAAATTAAAGCCCTGACATCCCTTCTCACGAGACTTCAGAGCTCCAAAACCAGAGAGGTGGTTTTTCACAGCACTTTAACTTTGTTTACCCCCCACCTTTTTTTTCCTTTTTTCTTTCTTACAGTCTTACTCACTATTCCTCTTGCTCTGAATCATTCTTCTTGATTATAAGGTATGACGGGCCCCCTCCTCACTGTCATTACTCATTTACTCCTAAATGATTATGTAGAGGCGAAGCGGCCCCGTGTTGGGAGGGACAGGTAGAGGGAGCGCTGACCCAGTAGGCTTCTCCTTTACATTTAATGAGTAGGAGAGAATGATTACATCTGAGTGAAAGAGCAGGGTGGAGCTGAAGAGCTGTGGCACCAAATGATGGTGAAAGTCTGGATATATGGGCCGTTTCTCTCAGTTCTCCCACTTTTGGACATTTTTACATTTTGTCATTAAGACAACCCCTCAGAATGAGGTAGAACATCGGAAAGTAGGGATGCACGATATAATGGGCCCCCTATCGGTATCGGCCTTAAAACTGAATATCGGACATCGGCCACCCCACCGATATTTAACCCGATATTTGATCAGCTTCTGAGTTTCTAAAGTCAAAAAAAAAAAAAAAATTCTGCTTCCTCAAAAACTTCTTTTTTACAGACTTAAAAACTTCTAAAGACGAGGGAAAAAATATTGATACATTAAAATATCCCAATATCTTCATATGCTGATATATTGCCATTTAAAAACACCATATCAATCTCTTTTACTAATGAAATATTGCTATATGTCATCGTTATGCTACGAAATCCCCCGAAAATTCACGAAATTTTGCGATATTTTTATATGTCGATATATTGACGCGGTATCGATCTATTTTACTAACAAAGTCTCACAAGAATTTGCAAAATATCACGAGAGTTTGTAACAGAACGATGTAATTTCACGAGATTTTGAAAGTAAAATAGATCGATACCGTGTTTTTAAAAATCAATTTGATATCAGCATATGAAAATATATTTGAGTTTATTATTTTTCAAAGTGTCAGAAATGGATAACAAAACTGCTATTTTCAATGACTTCTTATTTTTGTCCAGCTTTAACATCGGTATCGATATCGGTTATCGGCTACATGAGTTTTAAAATATCGGCATATCGGATATCGGCCAAAATCCCAATATCGTGCATCCCTATCGGAAAGATGTATCAAGACACAGTCGTCCATGGCAGTACTCTTTTAAATGTGATTTTATTTCTCCGTTGCACAAAAAAGTAAGATGCAATATTTTCATATAGACATAAAACCCCTTTACAACCTTTCCGTTACACTGATACCTGTAGACGTACATATTGATTAATCCGCCATTCACACCAACCCAGTCATGTGTGGTCGGGTTTGTACATAAACACAAAACAACCCACTAAACGAAACAAGTGAATGCACATATTTGCTTTGTTTTTTACAATATACCTATTGATTAATCATCAAATTACAGATTTGATGAATCAAAAAGAGCCACATGTCTAGAGTTATTTTTAATAAAATAGTTCTCTAAGCCAATAAACAATGTAATAAGCCAGTTTTTGAAAGATGGTAGAGAAGATGATTTCTGTTCTTTTAGTATTCACTTTTTAGCCAGTAGATTCCCCAAAAACAAGGCATTCTGAGTGTGTTAAGGGATGTTTGAAGTACTTTTTAAAGACTCAAACAGGGCAAAGTCTGTGGCAATACCTAAAGAAAGTATGCTCTGAAGTAATTCAGCTTGAGGTATTTTGAATGAAATGAAAAGATGTATCAAAGGTCAAAGAAGATGAGCTCACATCCAAAAGAATTAGAGAAGAGATGAAACATTTAAGCAGAGAAAACCCCATCTAAAGACTCCCAGAGACTTTCTGAGATTAATCAAGACATCAATTAAAAGTCTAAAAAAAAAGTTGAGTTCCCTTCTTGAAGATTTCTCTTGGAAGAGAGACGAAACATTTCAACATAGAAGACTTACTCAACTTTTGAAGGATTTGTCTGCTTGGATTATTGAGATGCATCAAGACATTAATTAAAAGTCTTGTCTCTCAGTTTACAGAGCCAGTAGAGACATACCCTGAGAGTAGTTTTACATTCCTGAATGTGTTGACGTGTTGTCAGAGATGCACAAAAGAGCAAGCCCTCTCTAGAGGGTTGGAAAGAAATCCTTGTTTGATAGCGCCCAGCCAAGGATAAGCAAATCATTCCTCTCCTGATTCCTGAACAGCCTCTCCTTCAGTCTGTCTCCAGTTGCTTCGAAGTAAAGAAATTAGTTGCTCCACTAATGTTTGATATTTTTAATTCTTTCCTTTTTGTTCTGTCACGCTCTAGAAGACAATATCTTTTAGCTGTTGGGTCATGGATTGACCAGGGTAGGATGTAGGATGAGACAAAAGCAGGAATAGAAGAAAACAAAGTAGGTGGTTTGCCATTTTTCGCATGAACATGTGCTTGAGTTGTCTTTTGAACCTCTATGGAGCTCTTTTAACTGATCTTCCACGTGTGCAGCGGTGCGTTTACATCCCTGCGTCAGCATATCAGCGCCCTGCGTGATGTTTCGTGTCAGAGGGAGCAGTCTGATAACAGAGAGCCACCTCAGCAAGGCTGAGACCCTCCTGGACTTGGAGAAAAAAAGAGCACAATGAGGAGAACAAATCGCAACTCCCCATTCTGTAGCCTTGAGGGGAATCTGTGTGTTTGAATGTGCGTGAGAGAGAAAATCCCAGTCTGATCAGCACTTCCTCACATGTCACACTTCCCAACACCGTTAAACAAGCGAGATTAACTGTACAAAACCTCTTTGTCTCATTCTGTTATGTCCAAACCGTAAACCTTTATGTATTTAACTGGTATTTTATGAGAAAAACTGGCATACAGTAATGTATAATTGTGAAGAGGAAGGCAATCAATCAGAGGTTCTGACTCAACTTAGTCAGAACCTTTGGCCGCAGTTAGACCTTTGGGTCTTTAGGATCTGTTCCTGCCTCCTTTTCACATCTACAAACCAAAGTTTTTGCCAGTACTTTGTGAACTTGCTTAAGCTCAGCTGGTTTCAACGAAGAGTGTCTTTGAACGTCTATTTTTAAGTGTTGTCAGAGACTCTTAGTTGATTTATGCTCAGACTTGGACTGGATCTGTAGGCTGTATGTAAAGGGTGGTATACCAACTGGAAAATCATTTCCATCCCAAGTCTCGAGTATTTTGCAACTTTTTGCAAGTTTTCTCCCAGAACTGCATCAATCTCGTCATTTAAACCTGACCTTGCTAAAGAAAAGCAGTTCCACACCACAATCCTGCCTTCTGTTTAACCAAGGAGACAGCGAAAGCAAGGCTACATACGGTGGAATCTTCTACGCAAGGTGGTGGTTGAATTTGATTTAAACCGACCAGGTTTCGTGGCTTAGATGAAACTTCTTATAGTTTTCTTTTTTCAGTCTTCCAATGTGTCCAGATTGGTAGACTGAACTGATATTGGTTGCGTCTACAAATTGTCCTACGTCGGCTGTGCATCTCTTCAGATTCTCTAGAGTTACCTTTGGTCGCATTTCTGATTAATGTCCTGGGAGTTTTAGCGAGTGGCCATGTCTTGACCAATCCTTGCTCTGGCCTATCATGGGAAATCTCCTGAGTTTAACTGAGGTCTGCGGTTTATGGTGTAAAAATACCTCAATATTACACAGCGCTCTACAGTAGTAGCCATTTAAGATTTCCTTTTTTTCTTGATGGGCCCTTGGCTGGTCCCCTACAATTCCTTTTTCAAACTTTGTACTAAAATATTCTGTCATGATTTTTGGACATTAATACCTAAAGTGAAGCATAATCTCCTGGTCAGACCCTGTTATTCAGTGAAAGGGTCTGTAGGGAAGTGGCCTGCCATTTGGCTATCATTTGACTGGGAAGGGCTATTTTCGATGGCTACTATTGTGTTTACTTTTGCAGCCTAAGCCTGAAACCCAATAAGCACTTTCTCCTCAAACTTCCAAAGCATTTCCTTTAGGTCGTGTAGTTAATGTATCTCAGGCTAATGCTGATCTTCCTCAAACTGTGGGAGAGAAGCTTTGTTTAATGATACAGAATTCAAGGTGGAACTTTCTGAGCACCTGCTGCTTCTTCCTACTTCACACACCCACACAAAGACGGCCTCTTTGTCCTGATGATCCCTCGGAGGGCCGCAACAGGCCAGGAGGCTTCCTCCGGCACCCTTTAATAACCATAGCAACAAATGACTGCCGTTGTGTTGCTCTGCGGCTTTGTTAAGGTGCACCAGAGGAAGCCAGAGCGAGGCTTGTTTGAAAGACTACTGGTATTCGCTGTGCGTCGGTGAGTCATGAAGTGCTACACCTGTTCCCGTCTCTGAGGAGAGCACAGCTGGCCCTGTCTCTCAAAGCACAGATACACATGTATGTGTATCTGCGCTATGTATACACATACTGTACCCAATTCACAAAACACAATTCTCCAATCTCCACTAAGCAGAGGGAGTCTATAAAACATCTGCCCAGTTAACAACACGGCTGTATCCACAGCAGGCTAACTTTACTTGTAGCTTGAGGCTCGACCCGGTAATTATTCTCTGTAATGATCCACAGAGGCGCACTAACACATCCGTAGAGGAACGGGTACTCCATTTAATTGCTGACATGCTGTACCTGGGTCCCGCACCCACCTCAGGTAGTACAAGGAGAGCTGAGATCAAGAGAAGGAAGGAAGCTTTCATGCCTGCTAAACTGCGTCCTCGGGTTACGCTCCGGTAATTACCGCCCGTTCCACTTCCAAGCCGCGGTTCGGGTGATGAGGATGGAAAAAAAACACACCTAGCTCTTTTTCCAAACTCACTCTGAAGTCCCGAGCCTCACCTGAGAGCACGTCCGTCTGCTGCAACACAAGCGCACAAGATTCATCACCTAATTACGAGTCCCAGTCACAACAAGTGTCTCACCTAAAGGTTCGCCTTACGGTACTCACAAAGAACGGCGTGCTCATCCAGCCGCCCCCGGCCTTTGATGCTAATGAGTTTTCTCATCCTTTTGTGAACGTCAGGATGTTTTTTTTCCTTTCTTCCTGATACCGCATGCTTTTTTTTTCCAGTTTGCTGAACATGTGACTATCAAGAGCTTTGACTGTAAGCGCCGCTTCGCCTGCATCGTTTCATTACCTGATCACATTTAACATATAGCTGCCAAAGAAGGCGACAATCAACGAAGGGCTTGACTGTAATGAGTTTGTCTGTTTTGCAGTGAAGGAAGACTGCGCTTCAGACGGCGAGGATGACGTGAGCACAGACGCGCTGGTGGAGGAGATGCTCCAGAAGGGAGACACGGCCATTATTTACCCGGAGGCCCCGGAGGACGAGCTTCAGCGTCAGGGCACCCCTGATGCCAGCGTCCACGATGAGAACGGTACAGGACACACTAATACAACACCTATCTGGTAATTGCCCCCACTAGAGGGGATGGCTCTACCTCAGGTGTAAATCCCTACCCCCCCCCATTAGCACCGGCATACAACATCATTACAACCTTTGCTTGTTTATTAAGACTCTTGGCTTTTACTTGCTTCCCCTCCTGAGGGGGAGCAGAGTGTTAGAAACTGCAACACCTGAGTAAATTTGTCACGTCTGTGGGAGCTCTGACTCACAGCTACCTGGGTGATAATGTGTGTGCATTCCCAGCCACAGCCCTCACCTGGTCCTGGGGGAACCTAATATATCACCTGTTAACAAGGTAATGCTTTACCTGTGTGGGAAGAGGACAACTAAGACCCTCTGTTAGGCCAGAGCCCATGCACAGGTGGGCAGCTTGTCTTTCCCAGACTTATGTTTTCTTCACACAGACTTTTTTTCTTAAACACAATAGGCAATCACACGATTAAATCTCAAGAGTCTGAAGCTGCAATTTGTTCGCCTTGTGTCGCTGAGAATCACAGAAACCAAAAATCAGATGCTGCCAAGGACAGCAAGTACTTATCAGCAGTCGGCTTTGATCCGTTTGGTTACCTGGCTGCTGTTTACCTGCAGGGGAGGATCTCTCAGTGATCAGTGAAATCACAGAGTGGTGTTATTGCGGCCGGTCATGTGCAACATCAAAGAGCATGTTTCGTTTGTTTTTGTTTTTTTAAGCCCGTCTCCTCTTCTATTGTTTCATCCAGGAACCCCCGATTCGTTCTCCCAGCTGCTCACGTGCCCGTACTGCTCACGGGGCTACAAGCGCTACAGCTCCCTGAAGGAGCACATCAAGTACCGGCACGAGAAGACGGAGGAGAGCTTCAGCTGCCCAGAGTGCAGCTACAGCTTCGCCTACCGGGCTCAGTTAGAGCGGCATATGAGCGTTCATAAGGGAGGACGGGACCAGGTAAAATGATGACCAAAGACACCTTTACATTTAGTTTTACCTGTTTAACTAGACTCTCCGAAGAACACTAGATGTCAGAGGAAAGCTTTATTGTTTTTTTCTTAGTCAGTAATCTGTGTGTTTAGTCAAAGAGGGGGAGAAAAACATGATTTTAACCACTTTAAGAAAAAAAATATTATTAGTTTCAATGATTTAGTTAATATTATATTATTAGAGATTTGGTTTGACCTGTTCATGCATTGATTTAAGGAGGTCCTCATGCAAAAAGAGCTTTGAACAAGCTCCTGTTTGTTTTTGCAGATAAAAAGGAGGCTTTAGTTTTAAAGAATCAATGTTCCTTTTAGATTAGAGATGTCCGGATCCAGGTTTTTGCACTTCCGATCCGATACCGATATTGTTTTTGGACTTCCGATCCGATACCGATACTGG